TTTTGAAAAACCAAATTTTTTAAACTTTTTTTGCTTTTTAAAACTCTTTTAAAACTTTTTTAAAAACTATTTTTTAAAAAACCCTTAAAAACTCCCCACCCGCGCGCGACCAGCCTCCCTTTTAATGCCATTACATTTATAACAAGAAATCTTGTCTAAAGGCGGATTTCCAGTCCTCGCACGAAGCTCCTCGCAGCTCGCTGCGAGTGCTTGCATCTAGTTAAAATTAACTGCTTTGCATTGTGATTGGATGAAAGTGCTCATGCATGCACTCGCAGCGAGCTGCGAGAAGCTTCGTGCGAGGACTGGAAATCCGCCTTAATGATTGTGGTTTTATGATTAACTCTATTGATAAATTCAAAATGTGCCTCGAATTTATCATAATGATAAGTTCAGACGTGTTTAAGAATTTACTCACATAGTAAATTCAAAGGTGGAGCTCATGTTGTTTCAAATTCAAATTAGCTATAACGTCTTGTTAGTAATTTGACAGCTCTAATTGCTTTGAATTAATGGTTGGGTAAGAACACAAGGCTTGTACTCATGGGACAAAACTCTTAAAAACTTTTAAATTTTCTAATTTTTATTTCTTTGAGTTTCGTACCATGAAAACAAGACCTTGTGTTCTTACCTAAACATTAATTTAAAGCAATTAGAGCTGTCAAATTACTACAATACGTTATAGCTAATTTGAATTTGGAAGTGTATAATATATATGCAATAATAGCTCGACATGGACGACGGTACTCACGGCAAGTCTAGTTCAGCAGCAGAAGAAATTGCTTATAATATAACTTCACTACAACTAAAAGAAGAGTGTATTACTGTTGAAAAAGGAAAGCTTAAATGGAGCAATGACTAGCTATGAATCTTCAAAGTTTCATCGAATCTACATTTAAACTTAAAGGAAAGTGGTCGTCTCCTGGCGGACATTTAAAATCGTTCAAGAATGCTTCAGAAAGTGTAATCATCAGGTATTATAGAAACTCAACTTCGCTGTCGTTTCAAGGCGATGAAGGTAAGAAATTTATGAAAATACTAGTTAAGAAAATAACTGGCAATGAGTTAACAACCGTGCAATTAGACAAGATGGAAGCAAGTATTTGTGACTGAAAGAGGAAACCATAGTGTTAACTGATTCGAACAGTTTAACAACTACGACAACAGATACAGCTGATTTATTATGCAATGACCAAGAGTTGTTGGAGAACTCTTTTAATAAAAGTGACAATACTATAGCTGACGAAACCAACTCGGGGGATTGCATGCTTGAGAATAACAAGTTTGTTATGATTGATAATTCATGTCAGACTAATCATGTACATGGAATCAAGTTACTAACGATATTGAGAGTCTAAAATCTAAGATGTCTACCCTTCCGTCGTTTGCTTTGTCCTTTGAAAATGTACTCAAAGATTATGAAAATATAACAGAGCGGCGGATTTAAACGAAAAATACTTAGGTGCATGAGATAAAAAAAACAAGATGCATAAATTCACTTGAACAAAAGCTAACTAAAGTCGAGGAAGAAAGAGAGACTCTACAGCTCGCGACAAGGCTTATTTCACAAGACAAACTCTGTCAACATAGGCGTAATAGTGTCGGTTGCTAGTGCCACAAAAGCAACCCCGTACCATGGCAAAAAATTCCTAATAGTAATAATAACTTTCATAAAACTAACAGTCTAAGTCAACCACAAATAACGTGTAATAGATGTGAATGTTTGATTGATGAGGGTGAAATTGTTAAAGTTGTCCAGCGGGAACAATCTGCACAATAGAGACCTTTAGATTGACGTTTACGGCAAACGTCAAACCGCTAGCGAGGTTTTTGATTTTACAACTCTATTATAATAGCTTTTACAACAGTTTTGAAATATGTTAAACTTATTAAACTTGTGCTCTTTAGCAATGATCTAAGAAAGTAAATTAACCACTAGTCATGCCATTCAGTAAAGCAGTAAATTAAGATTTGGCGTTTGAAGTTGACGTTTGGCGTATAAATTTCATGCTTGAACTGCTACGAGGGCTTGTAGTCGTTAAAGCATGAAATTTATACGCCAAACGTCAACTTAAAACGCCAAATCTTAATTTACTGCTTTGGTGAATGGCATGACTAGTGG